ATTTTCAAATCATGTGTATTAAAACATTCAAGTACTACATTGTACTATAAAAATGTTTTTAATCTGATGATAGCAGAATATGGAGAAATTCAATCTCAAAGATTGACGTCTAATTTTGTTATAAAGACTGTTGACAGGTTATTTGGCCATTATATATAATCAATTGTTTGTAAATATAACCCCAGACACAGACAAGGGTTATATACGTCCATATTACCCGTCATGAATATTTATAACGGATTTATAATACTTCCTTTTTGAGAGAAAAAGGTGAGATTTCTTTATAAATTGACAGCAGTCATGTACATAATTAGCAATAAATAGTTTTGGCAGGTTATATGACCCTATAAAAACGGTTGCTGGGAAATATAATCCGAGCCGCCAGACGAGATATATAATGCAAACAACCGTTTTTATACGGCCATATATCCTGTCATGAATATTTGTAACGAATTTTTAATATAGCAAGCATCAATTTTAGCAAGAATTTTTTTTTTCATTAATTGACGACAGTCGTGTATATTAAACTGTACAAACGCCACTATATTCCAATAAGAAGCGACAATAAAAATGTGCACTTCTATAAAAAAAATATTACCCTTCAAATGGTGGTTGATTTCTGCCATGTCGTTACTTCTTGAAGGTAAGTAGAAGGGGCGACATCACAAAAGAACGAAATAACGACAAAATTGTAAATATTCGTTTTGACGCACCGTTTTTATCGCTCCGTCATTATTTCGTGTCGAGGCCCTTCAAACGCATCATGACAACAAGACGAAAATATGAAATCAACATGTTTACAAAGGTCACATAAGTTAGGACCACGTTGCCGATGTCGTCCTTCATGTCGTCTGGAGAAGAATTCGCCACACAATCGGCATACATCTATTTTCTAAAATGAGATATAAATTTGATTATAAAAGTTATTTTGAAATGCAGTATAAAACAATCTTTTATCTGGACAGAGTGTTATATAAATGAGTTAAGAAATTTAAAAAATACTGACCTTAAACCTATTTGAGGATGAAAGATAAATAACATATAACTGTTTACGCTGTATCTTGATTTTGTTGACAGTTTACGCAGTTTCATAATATGTATATCCTGTAAATAGTGCGTTTTAAGTCATTTTTCGTACACAGGAAAAAGAACACATGTTGAAAATATGGTTTTAAAATAGATTCTACAATAAACCAACTTCCAGTCGTCTGAAACCTTAAGTTTAAACGCCGAATGTATGCAGTATCCAGAATCAAACTCGCATTCAACGCGAAATACTGACGAGAAAGAGAAGAGTTTTTAAGGAATTTTGGGATAAAAACAAAAACTATAAGGGTATCTTTGCAAACGTAATTAAACTGAAATTTATTCTAATTGTTTTACACGACTCGTTTTTGTTCAAAATACCGGGTAATAAAGTGTTCGCTGTATCATAATTTTGGGAATGCGCGCGCATCGTATGACCCCCTTGACATAGGACAAGACAAAATGGAGTAATTTATGGCATGAAAATGATATAAATTATCATTGTAGGTCATAGATAGTTTGATTTTTGGAATAATACTTCAGTAGTATCGGTAGAAAATTTAATATGGCTTCAACATCCAAGATGGTCGTCATTTAATGATGATTCTTGAACAAATTTCTATGATAAATGAAATTCATATACTAAATAATCTTCATACATATAACTCACTTATAAACTGGCATTCCTGTATAAAAACTGCTTACACGGATGTACATGTACATTCACAGAGAAAAAAACTTGCATATGTAGATAAAACGATGCAAGCACATGTTTTAGCTCCATATTTCGAAGAAAAGGGAGCGTTATTGTCGACTTTACAGTTTTGCTAAGGCTTTTCATGCAAGTTGGTTTTATAAAAAAAATACATGATAAAATAGGTTAAATCCTAATACGCTTTTTTGTGAGCATCATAGAAGGTCACTGTTAAAATAATAACTCTATCATGAATTTTGACAGAATTATGGTCCTTCTAAATATAGAAAATACTTCATTATCTAGGTTCTTGTTTAGCTATCAAACACTGAGAACAATCGAGCAATCTATGATGTCCTACTGATAGCTCTTGTTAATGTGCGTGATTCTGACTCCATGGAAAACCGCTTATTGCAATGGCCAGTTACTTTATTATCAAACATAACACACATGCGCATTTAAATCAATGCAAAACCGGTTTCTTTATGCGGAATACAACATATTATTATAGTAGACTCACAAAATCTGCGTATACTTTTATACAAGTATGTCTCTAATACACGTTTTTGTGCATCAACAGTTGCAGAAGTTAAATCCTGAGCAGTAGGATGAGGGCTTTAAATGCGTCCTCGTGCTTATGTAGATGTTGTTGCAAGAAAAGGGTGAATTTATTCTCTATTGTATTGTATATTTAGTTGAACACAATTTCTTAGTTTATCCGAACCAAATGTGCAGTTTGAATTATACTAGTCAGAGTCGGAGGAGGTAAGGGATTCTTCGAAATCCTGTCTCTCCATTCAAAAAAAATAAATAGTTTGAAGCATCCTTGTGATCGTCTTCCTGCAGCTGCAAGTTCTTTTTCATTAGTCATTTAAGCAGCAAATTTTGTGTCATAATTAACGGAATCAGGCTCTTATTATGTTATTATTTTGGCAAGGTCCAAATCAGAGAAATATAGAACAAAATGTATATATTCGCTTGTCGGTTAAAACAAATTGTTTGGAATTATTAACCATAGTCATTCATGACTTAATATGAGATAAAATTAAGACTTTACAGCTCTTTATATTTGATAATTTTGATATGAGATTCCGTCTGTAATATTGAACTATTTACTTTCTGACTACTGCAAATTACGTGGATGCGTTCAAAAGGAAATGCTCTTTAATTTCTTTTTTTTATTTCTAAATTTCATATTTTATTGCAGTTGGAATGACAAAAAAGCCACACATACGCATATGTCTTTCCTGATATTACAAATAGTTGCTTTTCATTCTTCGAGGCTTGAGTATAAATCAATATTTAACATAATGACATTATGATATATCATATTGTTCTAATTATGACTACAGCTGAAATACTAAAATATTCTAAAAAAATAATATATGTTTGCCTGCCATATTGGATTCGCACAACCCGAATCCTAGGCTTAAATTAAAAGAATTGTATCAACCAACAATTGCGCAAAGTTTCATGCTTTTCACAAGAGGTGCACAATTCGCCTTATTTTATGTATAAATTGTTTGGACTACAAGATTGGAACGAAAGAAGTAAACATATTCCTGAAAAAAACTGTAATGCCGGTTAAAGTATTATGTAGTAGCAGCCGTATGCGCTAATTCATTTCTTTAAATTTTGGTTCGTTTACTTTCTGTGTGATTTAAAGTTCAGATTTGTTCACTATTAAGGGAGGGAAATATGTATGTATCCTTATAGCTTAGCCGGTAGAGCCCCAGGATGGTATTCTGAGATCCCGGTATCGACTCCTGGTCAGGCTGTACATTTTTCTCACCTTGTGACATTTGGCGCACAACGAGGGACCGTGACTTCATAGCTTTGAGTTTATTTCACATTGCTCTGTGAATTAGAGAAAATTCGAGGATAAATTTCAATATAGCTGGTGAGTATGTCACGGTTCAGAAATGTTCACTATTTAGGGGAGACGATGTATAAGCTGCCGGATAGCTCAGTCGGTAGGGCAGCAAAATGGTAAGCAGAAGGTCCTGGTTTCGAATCCCAGGCAGGCTGCACATTTTACTCCCCCTTTAAAATTCACCAGAACTGTTTCATATATGAGAACATGCAATTTGATTTCCGTGATTCGAGATAATTAACGATCCTGTCTGAATCTGGTACGCTGGAAACAAGATCAGGATAAATGTTTTTGTTTTTTTCTCTTGTATGCTTATTTCATGTGAATTCCAAAATATTATCATCGTCAAATATCAATGGATTATTCAACACTGACATTGTTCGGCCTATCCGTCATGATTTAGAAATAATCATTATATTTACTGAAATGACTACATTCCATTGAACACACAGTCTCCCTCCAGGTCGGCGAATAATAGAATAAAATAAAGGGAGGAAACCAGACTCACATTATGGACTAAGTGGACACATTGATCCAAACGTTTAAGTGATGTACCTATCTACCATATAGCACACTAAACTTTATTTAATATCTACATGTATTTCATTTTAGATCTATCTCAAGTATTTATTAAGTTTACATGTCTATCTTTAAATGCACTTTACGTTAAAAGTTACATGCCAGGTCAAAAACCTTTATTAAGTCTTTGTGAAAATTAAAAAAAAGGGTACATTTTCATAACCAGATTGTCTAACAACAACATATTGAGGTCCCCTAGTGCACCATGATATCACATAATGTACGCAAATATATTATGATCAGCCACAAGCAGTAGGAAATTAAACCATGTAAAAAGTACCACGAACTTTTAACATGTATGTTTAATTTATCTAGAAAAGCCAGCATGGAGATACACGATATTTAATTTTTTTTGCAGCACGTTTTTTATCAGTCTATCTATAGTACAACAACTAATGCTAAAATATTCTTTGTAACGTGATCTAATTATTGACGTGAACAATAGAATATTCAAATTAACCCAAAGGTGATACATATTTCAAAAACGTCGAAACCAACAACAACATGAACAACAACAACAGGACCACGAATATCAACACAAAAACCAACAACAACTAAGGAATAAACAACTAATTCACGAAATAATCATGAAGTAAACAAAAACATATTTAAATTAACACATTGCAAAAACTTCAAACAACAACAACAGCAAGCAACAACAACAAAATAAAACAACAACACACAAGACAAACTTTTGAACAAACAAACAAAGAAGCCAACAAATAAATATATAAACGAAAAACAAAACAAAACAAATTAAACATGCAATAAACAAACAATAAATAAACAGAGTGTAATATTTCAAAAAATAGAAAATTCAACAATAAAATAAAGTTCGAAGCGTGTTCTGTGTGTATGAGGACGCACAGTGTCAGATGGAATGATTTTATCTCAGTTTATGGATTCATAAGGCCCATTTTCCTGTTTTCTCTTCCTGTACCTCGAAATACCACATGCCACAAACACTATGATAACCAAGCCAGCAAATGCACACCCAAGCGCGATTCCAAGTGTTTTATGACTGCTACCGCCACCTCCGTTATGATCGTCTGCAGGGCATTTGGCGACACCTGTTGATAAATATGTACATAAGTTATCGAGAGGATAATATTTACACTACCAGAAACGATCAAATTTAAATTCTATTCCATTATTGAAATTAAATAAATGAATGTAATTCAAAGCCATTGAAGTAACTTTTAATGTTATTTTGAATCGCCATTTAAAGTTCATGTTTACCAGAATACTAATTGGTTGACAATTCTATACCAAATCGAATAAATATTTTTCTGCGTACACATCCTCTCCGTAATACATTTTTGTCAAACGAGAAGGCCTTAATTTAAAAATTACTACCAGTCTATTGTTGATTAACTGTATTTGGATTGTATTTTATCATTTATACATGTATATATATATATCATATCTATATTCTTTTAATTGAATTATAGCTCAATGAATAGCATGCTTTACGTACCTGCGGTTGAGAAATCAGTGAAATTGGATGTCCCAAATGCCCTATACTGCATCATGCTTAAGTCCATTTTCATATTTTTATTTTTCTCAAACTCAAGGTCTTGTTCAGCATTGCATTTATACGAGCCGTCAACTCCAGCCGCAAACTTCCCAACAGTGTCTTCTGCTGTTGCAGTAATGATGTCTCCTGAAAGTTAAAACAAACCAAAAACCATTAATATTTCATTATTTTTTTAATATTATACGTTAAAATGTAATTGTACAAAATCAAAATAAAAACAAATAAATAAAATAAAATAGATAAATTTAAAGAAAGAAAATGTTTGTACATTTGAGATTACGGTTCGAAGAACCAGTACATTGAATATTAATATGTTTCAACTACCTTTCTTTAAAACAATGTTAATTTATACATAATAAATGGCTTATGAAAAAATGGATAATTGGTTAAACTATTGCTATTTAACGCCGCTTTATTTTTCATATTTTGATTTGAAATATATTTTGATTGTACTTTATTTCAACAAACGAACGACGAGGTCAAGAACACTTTAAATGCTAATGGGTGTGCACTCTTACTTGCTATATTGACGTCAATATGTATCATTTAACTTGCATAAAGGTTAGCAAATCATCTTTGACATCAAAATGTACTAATTATTCTTAAACTGCCTGCTGGCGGCAACAATTTTATGCAAGCGACCATTGCATACCAAGATTTGTCGCTATTAAATCAGTTTTTTATTTTCATTCTTTCCTAAGAAGCATAAACGGTTTCCGATACTTAAGTAAACATTTCGCGCATCTTTACAATGTTTGGGTATAACGTAAACGACGTCACATCGAAAAATATGCACGGCCGTGCATTACCATTTTTACGGAGTCGCAAAAGCGGCACGGGTATATGATGATTATACATAAAGTGCATCAGTGAAAACAAATACGAATTGCATTTACCTGCATTCTTTGCACCAGGAAAATGATCGTCGACTTTATATGTTACACTGACAGATTGCCATGAATAATCCGCAGTATCAGACAAAACTTGAAACAATTTTGCATTCTGTACGTTACTTTTGCCGCCTTTGGCGACAACAATATTCAACATCCAAGTTGAGTTGAAGAACGCCAGCGTTATTTCCTGTGACGTCGCGGAGTAACTGCAATTTCCGCTTACATTTACATCGTCAGGCACTGCAACCATAGCTATAGTATCCTGATAATACAAGACATGATTGTTAGAATGTAAAAGTCTAGGCAATGAATAAATTCAACTAAGAGTGTGGCACATTTAAAATTCTTGAGATTTAAAGGATAGACATTTTGAAACAAAATTGTAATATCCTTTATAATTAAAGTAAGTGTGAACGTTTTACATCCCTTTTCAGTAAAGGTACTTTATCACTGTTTCAAATGAAATCGTACAACTTGATATTAACAAAGACATTGGAGTGTATGCTTTTTACATGAAGCTCTTGTGGCTTGTTTTTCTTAAACACAGAAAACTAACTTCGAACAAACTTCCTAATGCTATAAATAGATATGTCAATTTGTGTTGATATTCAGAAGTATTGGAATTAATCATCAAATGCTTGTCCGAAAGAGTTTTATGATTTTCCATAACCTTATTCAGTCATTAATTTTACCTTTACACTTCCGGCCTTCTTCTGATAAGGAATTTCGAACTTTATATTTCCCTGTAAGACAATACACACTTCCTTATTGTCTCGAACCACATACTTATGATCACGTGGTCTTTCAGTGGTGGATTTAGGCTTGCTCGATGTACTTATTGGTTCTGTTGTTGTTTCTGGTGCAGGCTTTGTAGATGTTTCCGGTCCAGACGATGTTTCCGGTTCGGAATGTGACGATGTTTCCGGTTCGGAATGTGACGATGTTTCCGGTTCGGAATGTGACGTTGTTTCCGGTTCCGAATGAGATGTTGTTTCCGGCCCGGAATGAGTTGTTGTTTCCGGTTCCAATGGAGTTGTTGTTTGCGGAACTGGCTCTGTTGTTGTGTTTGATGGTGGTTCTGTTGTTGTGTTTGATGGTGGTTCTGTTGTTGTTTCAGGTGTATGTTCAGTAGTTGACATCTCAGGAACAGGCATCGTTGTAACATTTTGTGGTATCACTGACGTCAGGGCTTGTGGTGTTGATGTAGCTAGGTCCTGATTACACTCAATGACTGATTTGAAGGATAAAAGATGTTATATAAGATGTTATGCTGACAGTATATCATTAGTTAATGTGTAAAAACTATGTGTATATTCATCTATTCTTATTTACTATAGGATAAAATTGGTTAAATGTTAATTGTCTGATTGAAAAAAAAAAACAACAACAATTCAAAACAGCCTACGGCTACATGAAAGGGAAGATGTAGCGCGAAAATCAGGTGAGTTAGGAAACCATCCCCAGTATTTGAGACTGCAACAGAGTCACACATGTTATCAAATGGTTTATTTAACTACTAATCAATATGAAGGGGATAACTACATGTATAGTGATAGCTTTTGGTCCATTTAATTAATCAACAGGGCGATCTTAGTCAGGTGCATTTAATCAGAGTTCCAGTGACAAATTTGCAAAATGACAATTGTAGAGGAGAGTATACCTACATTGGATAGAAGTGGAAACAGCCTTAATTCTGTAGTTATATACAGGCAAAAAGCTGATATATACATGTATATCAGTAACGCTTAATTAAAACAATGGACACTGTTTAGCCTGATCATGTAAAGATTTTACTTTGGCTGACTGAAATATCTATGTTTTTTTAAAAGAAAGTAGACATTATATATTCTTACCTGGCCCAAAGACGCTGTTTCTTATCTGGTATGCTTGCACTTGTAAATTGGTAATCATCATTTGTAAATGGAAATTATTGGTTGAATTGAACGCAACCGTTTCCTCAGAAATACATTTGTATGAGTTTGGTGAATCAGTTCCTATTGGAAGATGATGTTTGTCATTTAGTTGTACTGGGAGTGTAGAATTCATATCTTGAAAGTGCTTTTTGGCGTCCAGCATAAATCTCATTGACACATCGACATTATTGGTTTGTCTTGTAAATCTAAACATGAGCATTTCTCCAGATGGAAACAGTTTAACAGACAATACAGATGTTGAACCAACAAATATATTTCCACATTGGCTAGAGGCATCAATTACTGATGCTCCTTTTAAGTCGAACAAGTGAGCAACCTGAAATCGTAAATAGTCAAGATGATGCTAGTATTCAACGCTTCTCTAGAAAAAAAGTACCGGGTATTTTGTTATTCTTATAAGAGGTATCTAAAATTCATATTTGGTTTATTCATTTGTTCGAACAATTTATTTACAAAACATTAAGAAATGAAATTGTAATGTTTCCTGACAAAAGTCATGGCATCATTTTTCAGCACTCAGTACCACTGTAAGTCGTTTTGATTTGAATGAGTTAAGACAACGTTACAACGAACCTACATTATTTTTCATTTCAATTAATTTATTAATTTTAGTTAATTTAGTTTTTTTCTCTTATTATAGATTTAATTAAACTGTTCCTGCTATCGTCCTGTATTTCTTATTGTAACTTTATCTGCGCTCGCTCATTTGATTTCTCTTTCAAGATATCCAGAATTGTTTATACAACTTCAAGACTAAGCGCTGAGTGGTATGTGTAAAAGATATCAACATATTTAACCCTTGATGAATACAGTTAAAGCCAATTCAAGGAGAGAGGGGGCATGAGAGATATTGCCTTTTCAATTATCCATCGTAAACCGACTAATTAAACCTTCTTTTTTGTTGGTTTTCCTTGCTCGTGAGTGATTTTATTTTCTGATATTTCGGCACCACAGAAAATACCATTTCTGATGAAATTGTACTTCAACGTCGTATAAGTAATAGAAAGAGCACCGAAACACGAGGCTATCTGAATTGTACGAGGGGGCGTAACCCCCGAGTATTAATCAGATTGCCGAGTGTTTTGGTGTTCTTTCTCTTTTGTATCATAGTCAAACATAAAAGCACGTTCCCTGTTGTAATAATATGAATCCCCGGCAAAAATGAACCAATGAACGGACATCTGAATATGACATTTCTGTCGCTTTCCCTTTCTCTGCCGTCACAATATGTAAACCCCAGCAAAAATGAGCCAATCAATGGACATGCTCTGGAGTGCGGGTAACTAATACCCGCACTCCAGTTAACGCACTGTGCATGTATATGTATACGATTTAACCCTGACACATTTTCAACAGAAATGTCTCCAAACTATGATACAATATACACAATGTACCACTAATATAATAAGTCCGGTTCTGATATCTTTTATATACTTCAATCACTTTCTGAATTCACCAATTAATTCTGAAGAGTATCTTTAAAACAGTACTACCTGTGTCTTGTATGTAAGATGAAACGTTGCATCTATATTCATAAGGATACAGGCACCTCTAGTTAGTTTGCTTCTCACTTCAAAATGAGTACAGTTGGCTGAAAATATACATATTAAGTCATTATTTGTACATTTGGTTTTTGTTCTCTATCTTATGTCGATTTCAACACATGTTTGTGGTCATATATGCAGCCGATCTTCCTAACCTGTGTGACAGTATAACTCAACAATAAATACTAATTTCCCTGCAAGTGACCGACTACTAATCCCAAATGAAGGTAAGTGGAAGGTAAATGGACACTTACGTATGTCTGAGATCAACTGTTATGCAGAAAATAACGCCCAGCCCGAGGACCGAACTAGCGTTCTCTGGATTTATAATCCGATGCTCTCCGTCTTGAGCTAAGCGGGCTGACATGTAGTGTAGCAATTATATTTCATTAAAATCAATAAAGAAATTTAATAACTATAGAACAAATGTGTACAAACCAGAAAGAAAGGCTCCAAGTACAAAAACAGCAATTACTTCTAATTTACTCATGTTCGTTTTTGTCACAGGCTATAATTTAAACAAACAACCACACTCGTAAAATGACAAATAAAGTTGTGATTTCTTTACTGTAACAGTTTAACGTCCATTATACCATATATATCTACAACAGTATCATTAAGGTATGATAACAATTATCATCATGGGATCCTAAATTGAAAGGGGAAGGTGAGGCTAAGTGGCTGACTGGGAGATAAATTGTATATATGATAGATAATGATTTAGGACATCAGACATGACCACAGACTATCTCAACTTCACAAATATTATCATAATTTTAAATATCAGTGAATTGAAAAAAATCATACTACTTTGTACTTGTTGTTATATTCATATTGATTAAATTTTGTATATATTTAAATAAACATTATTGTTGTAAAATACCATGGCGATAAAAATCGACCTTCAATTTATAACTGTAAACATTTTTTATCAAAAATGATAAAATCAATTTTTAAACATTTTAATATAATTATGTTATCTTTTTGAATATCAAGTATATGATAAAAATTCATTTCAGCAATCAAAAAGGTCATATTTTTCCTAAATCAAGGGGGTCGTACCATGCGCGCGCATCCTCAAAATTCTGATGCCGCAAACACTCTTTCAACCGGTATTTTGAACAAAAACAAAGCAATCAGAATAGATTTGAATTTAATTTCTTTTGCAAAGAAGATGCCCTTACTTCTAGTTTTATTAATACAAATGCCTTGACACAAGTCTTCCTTTTGTTGTCAGTATTTCGCGTTGAATGCGATTTTCAGTAAACCCGGCGTTGAAATGTTACAGAAGTTGAGAAATTGTCGATTAAACTGCAAGTTTCACACAGCTTGAGAAGTTTTTTTATTCTAGAACCTTTTTTTCAATCCCTGTTATTTTTGCTTTATAGACATTATGATACTGCGTACACTCTAAAAAAATAGAGATACTGCGAACACTTTTATGTTATTGATTCTACCTACACTTTCTTCGAAGCATTCTAAGTTCATAATGGGATCAATGGATAACACTGGCGAACAAAAAGTAAAATTATAAAAAGCTAATTAAAATAAGACAATAAGATTCAAATCCTGTGTTAAAGTATGCTCCCTTAAAATGTTTAAAATGTACATCCTAAAACAAGGTTTGAGTTTAATATTTTTTTCATCTAATTTGTTGACACATTTATGTAACACTCTATTCTGATACATTTTTTCGTACACTGCATTAATAACTTTTGTAGTCAAATGTATAGCTCATTTAAGAAAATAATGTCCAGACAACATGAAGGACGACGCCGGCATGTGATATTTGTATAGGCATGGTCTTTATCTGAGTATTATTACTTGACGTATAATTAATAATTCGAAGCGTCATACCTTTGAACGCAAAATTGAATGTCATTGTGGAAAATGAGAAAAGAAAGAGATATATTCGTATCGTGAAACGGCCTTAATGCTCTTAGGCAAACAAGTTGTTAAAACTCCTATGATTAGAATCTTGTATAAAGTAAGGCGAGAAAGTAAATTTCAGGGTGCTTAGAAAAGGAAATGTATATGTTGATTTTGAGTGAACTGTGCTATAATATAGCAGGGTATGGAGTAATATAATCACGGAGACCATAACCCTACAAACATCTGAACAATTAATAACATGTATAACACAAAGACGTCACATACCAGTCCGGTGGAATTTTGATCAATGTTTCAGATTTCATTTCCAAACGTAAATCCGGAAAGAAAGATTTCTTACACGAGTCAACATATATTTAATTAAGAATTAAACATTCAATATTTGCAATATGCACCGTTTATAGGTAACCCAACTCTTCAATAAAATTTTGAAATAAACTCAATATGTGTATGGCTGTTAAAAACTAGAAATGTGTCCATAGGACACGGGTGCCCCCACCGCACCACTGTTCAGTCAATCTTTTGATTGACTCTTGGTCAAATATTTTTTGAAAACTAAAAGGGCAAGAACTTTACAAAATACTGAATAAATCCACAAGCAAACCCCATAAGTACACATTCTGACCAACATTCTTGTAAACTTTCAGGCCTACAAATGAAATACGTTTTGAGCTATGCAAGACAAGTTGAAAATTGCAAATTTATAGTACTGTAAGTCAAGGGCAATAACTCTAACAAAACTGAAAAAAATCCACATGCAAAGTCCAAGGTTCATAGCTTCACAGTGATGTGAATCATTATGCCTGTAATTTAGGGATGTTGATCATTATTCTTGTCAAGTTGATTAATTCTAACTCAAGCAGTCAAGGAACAAATAACAACATAATGAAACGGTTTTTACTTAGTCAAGGGAAATAACTCTACAAAAACTGGATAAATCCACAAGCGAAACCCAAGGTGCAAAACTAAATATGCTGAGCAACCTTCCCGTAAGGTTTAATGACTCTATGTCAAATCCTTTTGAGTTACATGCGACACAAGTTGAAAATTGCAAAATTTTACTAAGTCAAGAGCATTAACTCTAAAAATACTAAATAAATCCAGACTAAAATACCCAGGTGCACAACTACATATGCTGATCAACATTTCTGTATAGTTTCATGACTCTAGTTCTAATACTTTTTGAGTTACATGCAACACAAGTTGAAAATTGCAAAATTTTACTAAGTAAAGGGCAATAAGTCTACAAATACTAAATAAATCCAGACTAAAATACCCAGGTGCACAACTACACATGCTGATCAACATTCATGTAAAGTTTCATGACTCTAGGTCAAATACTTTTTGAGTTACATACGACACAATAGAAAACGCATGAACGGACGGACGGACAAGGGTAAATCTAAATGCCCACCACTAAAGTGGAGGCACAAAAAATTCTAGTATCAAAGTTATTAAACGTTTTCACAACACCTCACATTTTATAATCATTTCGTTATTAAAATATCTCCTATACCATGGAGAATACGGTGGTGAAAAGTCGAAATAACGACATAACGAAACCACGATTGGTAAAGGTCGAAAGTACGACGGTGAAAACACGGAATTATATCGAGTTTACACCACCATGGTTTCATTGTTTCGACTTTCCATCATGGTAGGCTTTCTTTCGAATTTTCTTTAGTGTATTTCGACGTGTCGTTATTTCGACTTTCCATCATGGTACTTTCGACTTTTCTTCATTGTATTTTCACCATCGATAATGGAAAGGCTGGATTCTTGCACCTAGTTGATTGATTTTAATGCTCACTATTTTTCCTTTTCATTTGGTATAATCGTTGTTATATTAAACAATTTTGCTTTTCTATCATATACCATGTTCATGCGCCAGTATCTCTTTAAAGTGTCATCATGTCTGATAGATAAAATAAATATCTAATTTTTCTTTGGGGAGGACCAAACAGTAATGATAAAAGAACTTTGACCAAATCCTTTTGCTATTTTTTATTTTGATAACCTGTTAATATTGTGTATATTTGCCAATAATATATTATAAAAGGCCCAATATTTTTTAGAAATGCTTTTGTTTTTATTTCTTGAAATATTTATTTTTATTTTTTCTGTTAAAAAAGGTTACACGTTTGCCAATTATTCAACAACCTTTAGCTTCTATTGCTTGTTTTTATTTCTTGAAATATTTATTTTTTATTTTTTCTGTTAAAAAAGGTTACACGTTTGTCAATTATTCAACAATCTTTAGCTTCTATTGCTTAATGCCATTTAGACATATATAATAATTTGCTTAAGCCGGTGCTAGGGGGCGTGGACTGTATCTTGAACTTTCCACAAGGCTCAATCAAAACCGAGTCTGCAACATTTTTATTTATGTCGCTTTGTGTGTTCCTTAGGGATTCATTATTTATTTCTATTTCATAGCCACATCAGTGTTATTTGTGCCTTGTGGATGCCGTAAAATGTCGTCCCGTACATTCATTCAGGGATGTAATATAACCGATCCTAAAGGATCGTTCAGCACGACATTATTGTAGTGTTTCTGGTCATTTTAGTTTTTTTTCTATTCGGCTTTTTCCTAGTTGGGTGGTTCCAGTATTCCTCACTTGAGTACTGTTTAATCACGCTTGGGATATATGGCCTGCTTTTAAATTTGTCTTTTGACAGCTTTTCTGTGATAGGCAGGCTTCATAAACTCTGATCCCCTTTTATTTACTTCCACCCATTGTTTTCTCGTTAAGGTTACAATCATTCTTTTATTGGGGACGATGTGCCGCTTTTCATGGAATGGCATTTACAAGTCACATTGAAGGTTCAATGATGACCGCCGTATGAACACATCTGAGGATGTTTCATAACTTTACCATTTCATGTTAAATTTCAAACACTGCTTAAGCCGGTGCTAGGGACGTGAACGGTAACTTGCACTTTCTATTGCCGTTCATGAATTGACTCAATCAAACCGAACCAGCAATATTTTTAATTATGTCGTTTTGTGCATTTTTAGGGATTCTTTATTTCTCTCTATTTTGATATTTTGAATGGAAGTCAAATTCCACTTGGTTTACATTTTCTAACTTTTATGATTAATTTTTTCACATTGAGAGCTACGTGCAACATGCTCTTAAACTAAAATTGAAAGGTTATGAAATTACTCTGTACCCTTCTTCATAAAGAAAAGGATTTCGTTTCTCAGATATAATGTATCTTCTTTGCTCATCTTTACTATGGTATAAAATTCACAAAAAAATTAACACTTGTGTTTTTGTAATCATTCAACCAGCTTTCGTGGATAACCAACCAGTTAATAACAATTTCTCTGCAAATGGCCGACTACTAGTGCCTCATGATTTTTGAATTAGTGGCGAGAGACAAAACCGCCATTATACACAATGTCCGAGATCAATTCTTATAAATCACCAAATATCGTCTCTGAATTTTTGGTCACTCGATGAATTGAAATTTCATCTTAAACACAAACAAACAAATACCCGCTGTATGTATTATGAGTTTACAATTTTCATTGCCTTTAATTTAAATGTATCTCCCGAGGAGAAATGTTCACATTCCAGAATCTTTACGGATTTGATAAATATTTTACAGAACGAATGAATTCTAAGTTATTTTTAAAGTTCTAATATCATTCCATCCCAAAAATAAGTCTCTGACATTAAATTTTCATACATCTAAATATTCATAACAACAATCACTCAATATGTTTATTTTCCAAGAATTAAAAGCGGATGCGCAGGCTGGTCTGGATCCATGGTGGTCGCAAACGCATTATGTTGGTTTTGTCATGGCGTGGCTCATATGTTTAAACGCCAGTGACATATCAGATAATTACATGTTTAAATAATTTGATTTGATATTACAAATACATCATTAAACTTTTATTTTATATTATTCATAACGGCTTTAATAGATTTTGCTGACTTGAAGAATAGTGCTCAAATTCGATGTTTGATAATACTGTTAATTGCTACAGAGTTTCTCTTTATAAAATGTTTTGAGTACACATGAAGAGAAGATATGTAAAGGCCCTGTCACACCAGACTGCGCTTTCACTGCATTTGCACGGCGTTGTAAAATTTCACAAAGCGCAGCGAGATCGCAATGAAAAATCTAATATTTTGATGACATAAAGACTTCATGGAGTCTTCACGGCGTCCCCACGGCGATCATGGCGATGCTACGGAGCTTCCACGGCGTTTTAATTGACGATTGTCTTCGCTCAGATCGCGCTTCTACGACGTTCTTTGCGCTTTCACTGCGCTTTTACGGCGCTTATTCGGCGCCCTTACGGCATTCACACTGCGCTAAAAATCGTAAAACTCTGTAAAATCGCCGTGCACACGCAGTATAAGCGCGGTAAGGACGCCGCACAAACTCCGTACAAGCGCCGTGGATAACCACCGCGTTAATTTGGCGTTCCTTTTGCGCTTTCACGGCGCTCCTGTTGCGTTGTACGAGATGTTACTGAGTTGCTACGGCGTCCTTACTGCGATCCCACTGAGCTCACTTTAGAACGCCGAGTGACGGCGTTTGTTTTGAACATGCTCAAAATGAGCGCCGTCGGTCGGCGTTCTATGCGATGCCACTACGATGCTACGGCGATGCTGCGGCGATGTTTGCGATCTTACTGCGCCCACCTCGGCGTTCTGAAGTTTCATTGGACGCCGTGAGAACGCCGTCCTAGTGTGACAGGGGTTTTAGGTGTTAAACTCTGCATACTGCGAGTAAACATAATATATTTAAATGTCATTAAAAATGCTTTTTCGCCTTTTTAAATACAGGGCGAAATTTATTAGATTGCATATAAAACTGAATGCAGCATTTAAGAAGTAGGCCACTTGACAGGTCGTCGCCAAGAGGTTACGGTCGCGGACATTAGTCTTGTAAGAGAAACAATAACACTTATCGCATGGCTGTGAGCTTTTCCTTTGTTCTTTCCAACCCATTATACTCAGTACACTTCAATGAGCATTTCAAAACTGTATTGATATATAACAGTACAGTTTTTTCATTGATTCATATAGGAAAAAAACTGTACTGTTCTATATCGGTCTAGTTTTTTTCGCACCTTGTATATATCAATACAGTCTTTTCATAGAGGCTCCAATGGGGCAGTGGTAACGACCATTCCCAGTAGCAAAAAAAACCCATAAGATAATAAAAAATGAAATCAATAAAATAAAATAAAATAAATATATAAATACAATGAAAAATATAAACAAAGATAATTAATGAAATGAAAAAAGCCCTTTAATCTTAAATCAATCTTGGTAACAGTATACAATCCGCCTCTTATATTGGATGTCTTTTGTATATTTTTTTTGCGGCAGCGAAAACAACTTGAAAAACTGCCTTATGATAAATAACTGTAATGAAGCTAACGATTAATTTATTTATTTGTTTCTATACAAAAAAGAAAACATTATGCCATTGCGATAAAACAGTTATAGTATATGAAACTCGTTAGTTACGGGGGTATAACACTGGCTGGGGCGACATCTCGGGATGTTTCTGCAAAAAAATGTCTCGGCCTCATTGTATAGCAGAAACACCCCTTGATGTCGCCCCAGCCAGTGTTATACCCTCGTAATTAACTCGTTTCATATACTATAACTATTACATAATGGTTACAATTTCTACCTGGTACAAAGCGTAAATTTTGCATACCGTATAACAGGTAACCTATAAAATGGAGTTGTAAGATAAAAATAAAGTTACTGCTTAACTCATTCGGACAATCTAGGATGCATATTCGTCGTATGTAAAGTTCTGAGGGACAGCTTTCTTTTTTTTTATAAGAAAAAACAACACGTTTCATTGTAGCATAAGTAATGAAATTTACAAACCACAAGTTGTGATGTTGAAAACATTATTTATCGCTCTTATATAAGTATTAAGCAGAAATGCACACTTTCTTTAAGTAAAATACCGTTAGTATAAATCAAATTCATATATATCATGTATGAACACATATTCGAAATATTGCGTACGTACATAATCCTCAAAAGTTATAATATAATAATTTTTTACACTAAGCTGTGCAGGGAAAAGCTCTCTTTCGTTTTACATTAAATATTTTATTGATAAGAACTAGAGAGATTGAAAGAAAGTGGAATCCCACTTGTTCATAACTATATTTTTTTTTCAAATTGCGGTGTCAAAAGTAAAAGTACATTGTATGTGGATAAGAATTGATTTACCTATGATATGAGTGTTATGCGTTCGCAAAATGGTGCTTGAACAGAAAAGTAACCATTTTGTTGCCTATTATCTATATGAACTGGCCTCAAGTTTAGTAGTGTATTGAAATTCTAAATTACGCTCAATAAATCACTGGACAATAGGATCTGTACGAAATGAATATATAGGGACCCCGGCAAATTAATGTAATCTTTAAGTGCCTGCTTATTGCGGATGTCCACATAGGAAAAGTGTGAATATGAAGTTTGAGCGACTTCGTTTTTATCAACATTGGAAATGATTTACATACATAATTATCATTTGTTTTCCTTATAAAAATATGTTGTACTCTAGTGCCTGCTGTAGGGGGCGCCCGTGGCCGAGTGGTTAAGGTCGTTGACTTCAAACCATTTGCCCCTCACCGCTGTGGGTTCGTATCCCGACAGAGACTTGGATTCTTTCATATGAGGAAGCTATCCAGCTAGCTTACAGAATGTCGGTGGTTCTACTCAGGTGCTGCTCGTTCGTGCCTGAAATAATGCACGGAGGGGCCCCATGAGGTCTTCCTCCACCAGTAAAGCTGGAACATCGCGATATGACCTATACTGTCTCGGTGTGACTTAACCCCAATTAAACAAGACTATGGTCTGTTAGTGCCTGAAATAATGCATGGAGGGGCACATGAGGTCTTCATCAGTAAAGCTGTAAAGTCGAAATATGACCTTAATGGTGATGATGCGACGTCAAACCTATCAAAAAAATATTTTGAGCAAAAGTTATTCTTACTCTCCGGACAACCGCCGTATTTGTCATCACTTTATATTGCGGATTATTTCAAAATTTACAAAAAAAAATTGTTCTTCTGTCTCTATAACGTATACACATAAAAAAATGTCAGATAATATTAATGAAATTATAACAGTGTCAATATCTGCAAGTTAAAAGATTTATTTAACATGTTCTATAAAAGATGTTAACTCCTACTAATTAAGAGTTTATAACTACTAAGTAGTTAGGACTTTATTTCTCCTACGTTGGAGATAAAAAATCCTAATTAAGAGTTTGTATCTCCTACGTAGTACTTTATAACTCCTACGTAGGAGAACACTTATAAAGTCCTACGTAGGCGTTATATAGTCCTGCGATAAAGTTATAAATTCCTAATTAGGCTTTTTTAATCTCCTACGTAGGAGTTACAAAGTCCTACGTAGGACTTATAAAGTCATACGTATGAGCAATAAAGTTCTACGTAAGACTTATAAAGTCCTACGTAATTTTATAAAGTCATAGGTAAGACTTATACGTCATACGTAAGAGTAATGAAGTCCTTAATAGGATTTATAAACTCCTAACTAGGCTTTTTTATCTCCTACGTAGGAGTGATTATTTTTTATAGACCATGTTAAAATGGTACAGGGACGTTTCCGTATACAGGAGTATAACTATGTCCGTGTGATTAATTATGTTTTTTTTTTTATTTTTACATACTGTGTCACATCAATGATGCTTGTTATTATTTCAAATAATTGTTTGACTGAATGCTGAATGCTTTTGTATCACTTAAAGTGTATATATGAAACAAATAATATTCCAAAGTATGAATGATTAAAAGCACATAATTCAAAGTTGAAATGAAAGTTAAGCAGCATAAACAACATAAATTCACCCACCACACAATTCATATTGTTTTTATACAAAGATTAAAAGGATTTTTTTATGATGTTTTTCTCTCTTTTTATTCATCTTCAGAAATCTGTTGGAAGATGATTTACATGACCTCATAGTTCTTGTATCGGTTACGTCTGACACAGACTCCAATCGCGACAACTAAAATAATGAACGCTAATCCTCCAAACACTGAACCTAAAACAATTGCAACTGTGTCGTCGTCGTCGTCACCATCATTATCAGGGTTGTCCGCGGGACAGGCAGTCGTACCTACAGTGAATAAAGGACAATATATTAATAGTGAGCCACATATTTAAATACAATTAAGACAAGTGCTAAATGCAAGAAATATACTCTACAATTTTTGTGGGATATAATTGAGGTTGCGAAACTTTTTTGTTGTGTTTTAATCGGTTTGAAATAACTCGAGATTTTATTAACCACTCATTCATTAAAACGGCCTTAAGTTCTTCTTGTTTTGTTTTGTTTTGTTTTGAAAACCAATTCTACGTGCTTCAACCTAAGAATTAAAGAAATAAAAATAGCATATTTAACCTTTAAAAAAGGTAAAAGCCGCTTTTTAATGATATGATAACATTACAAGTTGTTTCAGCTAAGTTCTTAATGATTGTTACATTAATGAATAATAAAATGTTTTATTAGAACTTATATAATTTATATTAAACGTAATTCATTCATGTAAAATTTTTAAATTATATTACATAACAATTGACCGAGTGGTTTGGGGTTGTAGACTTCAAATCAATAACCATTTACCGCTTAAATTCTAACTACGCTAGGGACTTTTTATTCTCAAATGTGAGGAAACTACCCAGCTAGCTAACGTAACGTCGGCGGTTCCAGTCAGGTGTTCTATCTTCTATCTGAAATAATGCACAGAGGGGCACTTAAAACCAGTAACGCTGGAAGTCGCCATTTGACATCTAGTGTGCCGGTGCGTCGTAAATTTGAACCAAAATAAATATTACCATTATTAGAAAAGTCTCCAGAATCGTCTGTGTTGAAAGCCTTATACTGAAATTCTGTCAGATCAACATAAAGATCTTCTCCTAATTGTATCGTCTCCCCCGTATTGCATCTGTAAGAACCCTCGGGACTTGCTTTGAAGTTTCCAGCGACATCTTTCGTGACATTTTTCTTTTGTCCTAAAATGTCGCATAACAAAATACCACAAGTTACCACATTTCATGTTGTTACATTTAATAATATTTAGATTTTTTTGCTATTAGTGTGCGCAGGAACATGTGAATGTGTGACACTAGTTTACTTGAGTGAATATTCGAGAATAATATAAGTGATATTGTGTTACTATTTTGTGATCTTGGAATTTGCATACATTAATGGAATAAGACTTGTTCAATTTTACATGATAAATGTTTTTGTTTTCAAATTGAATTTTATTTTTGCTTAAAGTTTGAAAAAAGAAATCATTTAAACAAAGATGCATTACCAGGAGTTTTTGGATCATCAAATTGCTCATCTATGACATATTTTAATTCGATGTTTTGCCACGAATATGACGTCTCAGCTTGTAGGTCTTGTAAATAAGGGCCGGTTCTCTTTAACATGTTCGCCGCATCTTCTGCTATAAGTACAGTAAAACTCCATGTGTCATTGAAAAATGTTATAATCAATTCCTGTGTTGTATTTGTTTCATTGTACGTGCATGCCCCACTCACTTTTGCTTCTTTAGGTAGGTCAATAGATGAAGTACCCATCTGTTAAGGTTTGATAAAGATAATTTATAAAAGTAAGATGCACAACATGGAAATGGAAAAGTTTTAACCAATTACAAGCAAACTTAAGATGTGTGATTCATTTTGCAGCATTAATTCATAAGATAATTGTTTTCATAATTATAATGATATTACGATTGCAATTACTCTACAGTGAAATTTTCCCGTAAAATACAATAACTTTGTCTCTTGTCTCAAGTATAGATAAATTGTATATAGAGGATAATAAAATAAGTGTTGAAGGCATGTCAATATACCCAGGTTGCAGTAATACAAAGAAATTATGGACTAAGATCTTACTGGCAAATTATGACCCAGAAAAGCTTTAACTTTAATTTCCCAAAACTTTTTTACTTTTGGTGTCCGTTTTTACTTTCCAAAAGGGCACCAGCTGGCCAATTTTCAGAACCATGCTTCTGAAGATTTCTGACAATAAGTACAGTTATAGCGTTTTGGTATTTTATATGGAAGTCAAAATACTACATGTACTATTTTGTTAACATTTTACTACTTTTATTACCAGTAATTTCACATTTAGAGCTACTTCTATCAAATAATAAGCATATTAAATGCTGTTGCACCACTATTCACATGGTTGCCCCTAAAAAAAGGAGTAACAAAATTGAGCCGCGTCACGACAAAACCAACATAATGGGTTTGCGACCAGCATGGATCCAGACCAGCCTGCGCATCCACACAGTCTGATCAGGATCCATGATGTTCGCTATCAGTTTCTCTACTAGGATTTGTAAGCGAACAGCATGGATCCTGATCAGACTGCGCGGCGCAGGCTGGTCTGGATCCATGCTGGTCGCAAATGCATTATGTTGCTTTTGTCATTTCGTGGCTCAAATAGTCGTTTCTGAGGCATAATATTTCTTTAATAATGAAAACATCCTTACTTGGTTGTCATTCCTCTCGTACTGAATTTCAAATCTTATCTTTCCTTGAACAACAATACAGACAACATCTCCATCCTTCACCTCATATTTTGGAATTTTTATCGGTGTAGTGGTTTCAATGACCTCTGCGGTAGTTGTTTCTGGTTCATTTGAAGGTGACATTGTCTCCGGTTCTGGTGAGGTAGAGTTATCAATTGGATTAACTGTTGTAGTTTCTGGTTCGAGACTTGCAGGCGTTTCTTGAGTTGTTGTCTCAGGTATCAATGTAACAGGTGCTTCTGGGGTTGTTGTTTCTGGTACAATGGTAATGGGTGTTTCTGGCGTTGTTGTTTCTGGTGTTATAGATGTTGTAGTCGGTTCATCAGGTGGTGCTGTTGTCGGTGGGGATGTAAAATCATCTTGGCTGCATTCCAAAGCTGAAAAAGTATTAACTATCTTACTCATGTTTTACACAGTGATATCTAAAATTGTCCTTAAAATGATCGTCATAAAGAATAAAAGTTAATTGCCTTAAGTGATTCATTAAAACACTTGAATAAATGATACTTTATATTATATGTATGTGTGAGAGCAGATATGTCTTGGAAAATGAACATGTATAAATGCACAATTACATGTTTGTATTTTTCTATCTACGTATTTACACTTATGCGTAAAAAGAAAACAACAACAAAACTTGATTTGTACATTTTTGGCATTGTTTCCTTGTCAAGTAAGGGGTTTTCTTAATAAAAATAGTTAAACAATGGTAGTTTATAAGGAAAACAAAAGCACAGTTTGACCGAATTGTATTTTTGGTAAGTTTTTTTTTCTGAAATATTTGCTACGTAAATTAAGATCATTGCTATGTAGATAATATTAATGCAAAGGTCAAACCTGTACTAAACTCTCCGTTTTCTATATCATACGCTTGGACGTGAAGGTTTGTAATCGACATCGTCATAGAGTAACCAGGATCCTGATTAAAGAACATCTTCTGCTCTGAGTTACATATATATGACATGTTAGTCATACCAATTGGCAAGTCAATGCTATTCTCGAGTTCGAAAGGTAGAATCTCACTTGCATTCTCGAAATGTTTCTTTGGTTCAATGTTTAGCACAGTGGACATTGAAACGGTTCTTGAATTCAAATCTTTCCTGAAGTTTATCTTAAATGATTCTCCGGACGGAAATAATTTAAGAGACAATACCGCGGTAGTCATTTCTGTTCCACAAAGACTCTGTCCTGCTGTAACATTTGCACCATCAATGGAAAATGGATCTGCTTTCTGAAAACAAAAGTATTGATGTATTAGCTGACTAGATCGTAACAAAACCTTTCATTTAGTGACAATAGTCGAATGGTTAACGTGTCGAACTAGAAATCAAAGTTTCGCTATCTGCATGGGTTCAAGCCCTATGAAGAGCAAGCCGTTGTTTCCTTAAGCAAGAAACCTTGCTCGGTACTGGTTGGTTCCAGGAAATAATTCCCGTGTGTATATATAAGCACTAAGCTTCCTGCACAATCAAACTTACATGAATTATTTAACCAAAACTTTAATGGAATTTATACAAGAAATTTCAAAGTATTTCATTAAATAAAACACCAAATATGTAACACAAACATTTAACAAAGGTTTAGATATTTCATCAAAAATTCAAATTATACAAACGATGCGTACTGTAAACGATTTGAGGGTGTTTTTATAATAATAATAATAATAATAATATAATAATAATAATAATAATAATAATAATAATAATAATAATGATGATGATGATGATGATGATGATGATGATGATAATAATAGTTTAAACTGAATAATGAATCCTTCCTTAAAACGCGAAAAAATATTAACGTGCTTTAAAAATTTAATAGTTTCACGTTGTTTGTGTCTGATAAGCCCATTGGGCCGGGTGTATACTACTGTTAGTTCATGTATTGTATGTTCATTCTTTTTACTTACTGTATTTCATATGTAGGTTTATTTTCATTATTAAATAAAGCGTTTTAATTTAGCGGGTTGTTAATGTATGACCGTATCAACACTCGTCTAAGCGTGTATAAAACAGGTTTAGAAGTTTACACCGTTATCTCTGTCACGTGAATTCCGTGTGTAGAATCCTACAGCTTTAGTAAATCACTTCTAGCTTAAATTCCAACGTGGTAACATCGTTCATTAAAACCCACAGCCGATGTTTATATAGCAGCTGATATGGTTTAAAATGCCGAATACCGTCATCTAACATTCAGATAAGTATTTTATTTGCCATAATTGTTTTTTTTTACAGTTAGAGATTGTATTCTACGATTTTAAGTTCTACCTCTCATGTACATTGTATTTCATAGTTAGTGAGTTTGCTACCTTTGTTCTCTACCTTGCCTTAATTAAATAAATCAGTTAGCTTTAGTATTATACAATATAAAAGTGCATGATTTATTTAGTTTCCGACTGTTTAATACATTTGAATATTCTTTTACTTTTTGAAAACCCAATTTTCTAGTTATCTAGACACATCAGCACGAACACGTGCCATCAGCACGAACACGTGCTTGGTTTCTCCTAAACAGATAGTGATTCAACATTGACGATTTATACTGTTTATCTATATATCTGGTTTATATTTCAATATGTTACGAATTTCAATTACTGCAGTATCTGCCCTATCTGAAGCAGAATTCTGTTGTTATTCATTGAATAAATTTAGTTGGGGTTTTTTTTCACCGCATAATATAAATTTTAATGATTTTGCGTACATTTTATTTCTAATACCAATTCTTGTGTTGTGTCAATTATCATCCTATTATTCAGTAGGTGGTTAATATTAGATAAAACGAACAGTAATGGTTATATACAACTTTCGTGAAAAACCCTTATCGAACATAGACAACTGAATTTTCTACAGACTGGTTATATTTGTTTAGAATAAGTGCCAGCTCTTTTTAGAGACTTGTTATTATACCTGTAAATAAAATGGGTAGCTTAAATATTTAAAGCTTTGAAAATCTTAACCTTTCGGATGTTGGTCGTATAAACCTCTGGTTAAATGCCGATTTAAATAAATTAGTACTACCACGCGGTCTTAGACCGTTAGTTGTGGGCGTGGTCTTTGATAATGTATAAAGTATGTATATATTCGACATTGTTGGGTAGAGCAGACTATTTTTCACTAATTATCTTGCTGGGAGGCCAAATATTTATAACATTATTTTTTTTCTACACTCACATGTGAATGATATTTTGTTGTAAAGTTGCATTTGTTAATAAGGGTTTACACTGTTTATCGCAACATAAACTTGATGTGCGATCGGCTGTGTAAAGTGGACATCTGCTCAGTACTATAAATTCTGTGTATACCTAGCTTATAATTTATTTCTTACACAAAATTAAATCTTTTCCGAGAATACTCTTCGTTTTATGTATCACCTTTTTCATTCTTGCCAGCTATAAATAAAGGAATTGATGTAGTTTCTGGACATTATGCTACGACTGACCGCATATAATTTATATGTTATCATGTGTTTAACTGTTTTCCTTGTCTTTCTATGTAGCATAACCAAAAGGATTGGCAGGTCATCGGCTCGTGAGTCTAATCCCATCAGTCATCAAAGGACGAACACCTGTTGTCTTTTCTTATGAAGAAATTGGTCATTCAAGCAGTAAACAATATGGCATAGTGGCATGGCATGGTTTTTGGTTGACAGTTAACAAAGAAATTCAATACGCATATGGCGTCGAGGTAATTGCATATTTGATAATCAGTTCTTCTTTTTTCTACTCTTATTTCACATATATAACTTCACTTACGATAAGATACGATAATTGTTAATAAACTATAAAGCATCGAATGCAGAACTTTTCCATAAATAGAACTGTTCTCGCACATATATCCCCCCTTTGATTTGAATATGCAGCATGTCTCTAAAATCATGTTAATTCCTCGAAACTAATACTCTAAAAAAAAAATACAAAGAGAACATAGAACGTAATTTACATATTACGGGTACTTTCAGTCCACGATAATTGTGGGATAAAATATTTTTAAAATAATGCTTTTGCTGTGTTTTTATCACACGTTATACAAAAATATTGTTTTGCATATGTCATTTTATTCAAAATGTGTGCATAGTTATTTTTCCATATGTTGACTTTCTAAAATTTTATCGTTATCTCATCTGTAGGGCTGTAAGCTTTAAGTCCTAGCCGATATCATTGTACTGAGTGTACTTGCTTAAAGTGACGCTGTGTTCCTTTTTCATTGTCAAGTCTTATTTTAAAAGAATAACTATTTTAATAGGCTATAGGGAATGTACAACAATATCTTATTACAAATTGATTTGGTAAAATATAAAAGATATCACAATACAATTGTATATTATAACACAATGTACTGATACAGAATGTGACTTGAATTCAATAGGATAATTAGATAAAAAACCAACACAATTTAAGTATCAAAACATGTTTCGCTTTATTCAGCTTCCTGAGTTGATACAAAAAAAAAAAAAATGACGTAAACGTACAAAACAAACGTTTACGTTAATAGACGTCACATTTGGCGCGTAAATAACGTTATAATATTATACTTAAGGACGGTGAAAACGCACGGTCGGGATAATTGCATTTTAACAAGGAAAATATATTTCTTTTTAAATATTTTTATCAGCTTTATAAAACCAAATGCATTCCGGTCATTTAGATACCAAAGTTATGAAAAATGATTGCATTTTAATGAAGTTATTGCATAATAAAGACAGTACCCTAAAAATCAAAAGTAACACTTTTGGCTAATTGTGATAAGATCACAACAGGAAAACAGATTGAACCAATTCATGGTTACTTTATGAAATGAAATTATTTATATTTTTAAACTGTTAATTATTAACTTGTTTTTCACACCTTTCTAGAAATGTAAGACACAAATGAGTAATTAAAATCGTTCTGAAAATGAATATTAAACTATGCCAATGGTCAGTTTTAGAAATCGTAAAAGCTCAATTGGAAATTGCATATACACACTTTTCCTCTATAAAAGGTGCTAAATTTCAAACACTACTGAAGACTTGCTAACAAATTGTATACAATGTTTCTACAAAGAAATAACCGCTGGGTAGATTTAGGGCATATTCAGTCTAGTCTATCATACAGACAAAGCGCCAACCGTTTTGGTGTCCATCGGTCTACAATTTTACAGCTTCACCAGCGTTTACGCACTACACTACAGGCCGAATGGCGTCAGTTTCCACAGGCGACTATCTGCACCGTAAGGTCTATGAGGCGACGATGTATATCTGTAAGAGACGCTGATGGGGGGCATTGTCGTTTCTAAAGATCCCGACAGTGACATTGCTAATAGACATTTATGAGTGACTTTGTTTTGCTTTGCATCAATGCTTTTCTTGTATTATTTGTAATGCACCTTTGCATTCAAACCCTTCCGGAAAAATGTTTCTGTCTTACGTAACCAGTATGTCTCTTTCAAAAGTCTCCCCATATTATAATGGTGTTTATCAATCGGCATAAATTCAATGTAAGAATATAAGTACACATGTATATGTATGTCTTCCCATCGTAATATAAGTAAAAGTCTATATTACCTTAAAATAAATCGTGATTATAATAGGTATTTTCTGATTGGCAAATTTTATTTCATAAAATATTGTGTGGCCCTCAATACACGCTATTATGTGCATTTCGGTGCAATGAATGCTGTCCGTCAACATCATCTCATTATATACGGAGATCTCTGAGAGTTCACCTTCGCCTCGTTTTCTCTTTAGCTCTGAATATGTTATTTTCTACTGGATTTTCCATGCCATACGACTCCATTTCCCAGACCGTATTGTAACAGAATTTAGCATATTTAGCGCTTATTATCATAGTTTCAGCACCATTGCGTTGCTATGTAGCTGTCCAAGCATTTTCGCTGGGAGCTGTCTTTCATATTTTATTCATTACATTATTTCATATTTTGTTTTCATTGACATTTATTTGCACCAAATGCTTAATAAAGTCACGGCCTTATCCCATTCAATTATGTTTGTTATTTCTTTTTCTGCAATGGCAAATTACAATGTTGTTACAACTGTTAAATAAACCTCTTCATTTAAAGGCCGTTTTGTGTTAAGAGGTTCTACTTATCATAGTAAACAGGTTCTACTAAACATAGTAAACACAAAATAGAAGATTTTTGGTTCTACTTTTGTCGTTAAAATGGTGTGTTTCACAACATCATGTTGCTAATTGATGACATCATAATGTCCCTATTTACCTTTAAAGAGTATTTATGTGTGAGGCATTTTTCCGGCTGATATCGAACCTCAATTATTTTTATAAATAAAACCCGCATAGAAATTAAGTAGGTTTATTTTCTTTATTAAATAAAGCGTTTTAATTTAGCGGGTTATTAATGCATGACCGTATCAACACTCGTCTAAGCGTGTATAAAACAGGTTTAGAAGTTTACACCGTTATCTCTGTCACGTGAATTCCGTGCGTAGAATCCTACAGCTTTAGTAAATCACTTCTAGCTTAAATTCCAACGTGGTAACATCGTTCATTAAAACCCCACCCACCCTACCCTTAATTGCTGATATTTATATACAAATTTTGTTGTACGCTTTACTGCTGTCAAGACTTTATATTTCAGCTGTGAGCCGGACTCCATTCCACTGTTAAACCATGCCATGCCATGCCATGCTGCTTGCCCAACTAAAGAGTACCACAATAAGGAGACCATCCGTAATTAACTTGGACATAGTGTTAACTTTCATCACTGTATGATGTTCATAGCTGGAACAAAAGCTGTCTGCAGTAGACATTTAACTTATAAACAGTTTTAAAACTTGTAATCTTTAACAGTGTTAAAAGGCGTAACTAATAATTGTGCAAATGCGTAAAGTTAAAAAATACTCCAATAGAACATTTAAATAATTTCAAAACATGCGTAAATGTAAAATTTGTATCAATTTGCAAGGATGCGATCCGACATCCGGTGGTATGACATTGACAAACGGATGCAGGTTTCCTATTTTCCCAATGGGTTTTGGTTTTCCTGAGCGAGTCGACCACAGTTTGCAGATTGATTAATTGCGCATGTTAGACTTTTTATTGGGCACACAATTGTCCTTTGTCGAAATTTAACCTAGAGATAAATCAATTGTATCAGTTTCGAGATGAACTTGTATGTTATAAGATTTTTTCCTTTTTTGTGTGTGTGTGTTAATTGACATGTTAACCCCCCCCCCCGTTCTAATCGCCCGTCGTGACTTTAGCTCTTTCATTTTGTTGAACTTAATTTTGAAAGTCATCTTTTTCACTCGTCAAAGATTTTACTCTAATGCAATTTTATTTTTTTTTGAGTGAGCACCGGTTTTGTTTTATAAATGATTATACACTCTTTTTTTTATTTTAACAGCCCGAGGCTTCCAAAATTAATCACAAAAAAACACAAAAAAAAAACAACAACAACAACAAAAAAACCAAATCCATCCCTCAGAATAAAGAAAAGAAAAAAAAAAAAAAAAAAAAAAAAAAAAAAAAAAAAGGAAAAAAAAAATAAAAAGGAAAAAAAAAAAAAAAATTGTATTTTTTCTTCTAGGTTGGCCTCCCGTATCTGCAACCTCGCGTTCGGTTGGCCATCTCTTATCATTGGTGTTATTGGGCGGGCGCCCTTTTAACCGTTAGAGGGGCCTAGACCTTAAAGGTCGGCCGTTCACCATGTCCTTGAATTGACTGTGTCTTATATGAACAGGGTTTAAAATTCAGCTTTTCGGCCAAACGGCTATTAGTGGTCTGTCGATAGCTGCAAAAATAGTATGTACGTGTGGGTCCGTACATATTCAAAAAAAAATAGATGGCTTTGCTACAAACCTCTAACAAAATGGGTATGTTGAAACAGACATGTTAGCCCCCCTGTTCGAATCTTTGTCTGCCGCTTAGCTCAGTCAATTTTTTGGATGGTTATTTATAACATAGTAGCTTAGTTGCTACGTCCTACCCTGCATTGTCGCTCTCCATGTATTCGGTTTTCCATCTATTTATATAAACAAACATATTTATATGTTTTGTCATTAAAAAAAAGAGCTTAAATAGGCGTCCTAGTAGGTGACTTTCTAAACTTTCATCATTTTTTCTGAAATTTGTAATGGTGTGTGCTTAAATAATTAACGTATGTAATACATAATTGCCCTCAATACACGCTATTATGTGCTTTTCGGTGCAATGAATGCTGTCCGTCAACATCATCTCATTATATACGGAGATCTCTGAGAGTTCACCTTCGCCTCGTTTTCTCTTTAGCTCTGAATATGTTATTTTCTACTGGATTTTCCATGCCATACGACTCCATTTCCCAGGCCGTATTGTAACAGAATTTAGCATATTTAGCGCTTATTATCATAGTTTCAGCACCATTGTGTTGCTATGTAGCTGTCCAAGCATTTTCGCTGGGAGCTGTCTTTCATATTTTATTCATTACATTATTTCATATTTTGTTTTCATTGACATTTATTTGCACCAAATGCTTAATAAAGTCACGGCCTTATCCCATTCAATTATGTTTGTTATTTCTTTTTCTGCAATGGCAAATTACAATGTTGTTACAACTGTTAAATAAACCTCTTCATTTAAAGGCCGTTTTGTGTTAAGAGGTTCTACTTATCATAGTAAACAGGTTCTACTAAACATAGTAAACACAACATAGAAGATTCTTGGTTCTACTTTTGTCGTTAAAATGGTGTGTTTCACAACATCATGTTGCTAATTGATGACATCATAATGTCCCTATTTACCTTTAAAGAGTATTTATGTGTGAGGCATTTTTCCGGCTGATATCGAACCTCAATTATTTTTATAAATAAAACCCGCATAGAAATTAAATAATTTTTACATTCAGGTTTATTTCATATGCTGGGAATATATAAAACATACATAAATGAATATGATATTCTTATATATACATAAACTTTAGTATCACATGCACTTAGTTACCTCTGTTCCTTGCGAAAGGTCAAAAGATGCATCTATATCTAAAAGTATACATGCTTGTTGTCCATCACGGAATTCAAACTTAGCACTTTGTACTACAATAAAAAGAAAGATTAAATCAAATATTAGCAGCAGAGAAGAGCGTCAATATCCGTGTAAAAATAATAAGTTTTCGGCATGAGGTAGAAACTAATAAAATGTAGTCACGTCTGACATATATAGTTTCTGTGGATCAATAAAATCTGCCAAATAAGGAAATAAAAATCATCAATTGATTTATATCGCACCCACCTACAAACCTATGCATTATATAACCTATGAGTTATTGAGTCATTGGCCCCAGAAAAGCTTTGATTTTATTTCTCAAAAGTTTTTTTTTTTGCTACTTTGTTTACTTTTTGCTACCTTTAGATAGATAATGTCGCATTTAGCGTCTCTTTTTTAAGGTATTAAACATCTTATATTCTCTAAAATCATTTTTTGAACGTTATAAAATTCATGCTTATCCATTTATTCGTTCTTGAAACATAATGGACGTTTAATGGATTCGTATTGAGATGGTGTGCTTTTAAGTTCAACAAGATTTTATTTACATGTATTGTTTACCAAATTTAAGAGTCAACACTAAAATAAAGAACAGAAGGAAATGAATAAGTTATTATCAATGTTAAAAAGTAAAATGGTTCTAAAAAAAGCGTCACATACTCCATGTAAAGAAACTAAAAAATTTAATTTATATACTACGTGATTTTAAGCAAATTTTAACCGTTCATTTAAGTTATGTTTTCACTCACCTGTACACATTAGAAATCCAAAAAATAGACAAATGCTTGCGTATAAAATCTTTGTTTCCGCCATGATGGCTGCTGTCCTCACAAATTCAATAAGTCACACAAATACATAGGCTATGTATGATAAATTGACATTATCAAGATAAAATATGGTATATCACATTTATATCACGATAACATAAATGATATCATGTATATCCCATCAGTCACAAGTTAAAGTTGTTCAAATATTTTGAAAAGATGTACATGTCAGATATAAATTTTAATCTAAAAATGCTCATGATACTGCCTATTCTCTCTGGGTTTGATGTGTTTAAGAAATTTTGTCACCATATGCTGTCTTTAGTTTAAACATATGTTTTTAGCTCGATTCCGAAACAAGTTCTTGCAACTTATATTAATCACTTTTGAGTCCGCTTCCTGGAACTAACATGTACTGGTGTCATATGAAGAAACATGGTCGTGACCTGAGTACGGCTCGGATCCATGATCCTTGGGTTGAGAGGCGACCACCTTAACCACTAAGCATGCTTTCTTTCAGTAACAACTAAAGAAGTGTTATACCCTTAAGCTGAATTTCTTTAATGCACTTGTCAAGTTTCCAGTTTTTGGAACTGTCATTATCACTTTCGGGGATATCAACAGTAAAGTTGTAAAGTTGGTCAGCCATTCGAAAATTATCAGGCGGCAACGAAGTTAGAACGATCTGTTCTATACTGGAAGCAAATACTGGCCAGCCACTTCCGGTTCCAGTGTGTTAAGGGTCAAGACTTATAGCATGCATTATTAACATTTAAAACCCCGCAATATCATTACGACAAACGGTGATATGTGGGCATAGAAAAATACTTAAAAGAAAGAGAACACTAATCCTGTCACGAATAATGTTTACAATTAAACTAGAACATTCGTTATCAGCGCATACCTAAGTTTGTTCTTGCATATATGATTACTTTCCTTAGATATTGTAAATTATAGAGCATTATGTATGAGCACCAAACCCACCAAAAAAGTCAAATAAACATTAAAGTTTGAAGAGCATATAAAAATGAAAAGGTAATTTTTGCAAACTTTATATCTCTTCAAATCCTCCAAACTTCAGACAAAGAATAGACTAGTCACACGTGGAAACCACCCAAGTATATAACTGATGGCTGATGCCTTTGTATTATGGATTGTTATTCACATCACATTTCAAAAAGGCAAATGTAAAAAAAAAAACAGCAGCATAAACAACATATTGACATGAACTAGTTTTAAATAGTAAATAAAAGATAACCAAAAAAATAATACTATAAAAATAATAAAGTATTTAAGAATTCCATTCCATCAGGATTAATTTTACCAAGCTTATACATCCATGAACTTTCTTTTGATATTGTTTTCTATTTGTACTTCACTTCATCAAATGACATGAAAGGAACATCTTTAAGACTTTAGAGTCGAGACATTGTGTTGTTGTTTTTTACATAAAACAATTCAGTTTTAAATTTTAGATGGAGTATATTTCTACATTTAAATTTACATAAAGATATTATCATAATATAGCGTAATTATCCATTTACATTTTATACATTTACGAGTTATCTCAAAACAGCGATAAGTTAATAACAGTAATTTATATCTCAGTGAAATTTGATTTTGAAATAACATTTCAAGTGACCTTGAGATAAAGATGTAAACACTAAGCTTATCAATAATTGATAATAATAGCTAAACATGAAATAGCAGTAGAAAGATATTAGTAATCATTTATTCGTGTAGTTATATTTGATTATCTATTTATTAGTATTTTTCCTTTTTGTCTTCTTTTTGGTTTGTTTTGCCCGACTAACATGTTACATATACAGTATATACCCTTGATCAAAACTACAATGTATATTATTATTATTTCGAAATTTAAGGCCCGTATTCATAATCGATACACTCACACTCAATACACATATTATTGCCTAACGGTCAAGATAGTCCTCAGCCTTTCAGTACAGTGGTATTCAGATTTTAAAGTGTCGAGAATCTGTGAGAGTAGGAGGGGGCTACTATGTTAAAAATATGTTGTAGTGTTTAAACTTTATTAGATAGTTTTGTCATCAATCATTTTTCAAACCCAAACCTACAAACTGTAAATTTATATGGAAGCTAACAGGCCGGTAACACAGCCTTGACGTGTCATCAATAAAATAATACCAAATACCACTTAGTTTTCAGTATTGATTTCGAGTTAATTTCGTCCAATATACATTTAAGTGCTTCATATACGCGAACTGACAGAAAATGAGGAAATAAATGTTGAAAAGCATATACTTAGGGATAGGGATGATTCCATTGAATTTATGTCAGAAGTTGAATTTTATCAGAATTTTCGATGTTCGAAGGAATGTGCACATTTTATACCCGGAATGATACATGAAATACTGAGTGTGTTCAGCTCACAAGATATCAGTACTTATGCCAAAAGGAAGTGAATTATTACGATTTCGATTTGAAAATTTATTGAATGTCCGTTTATACATGAAAATAGCTGTTCCTGTGTTTGTCAATGTGACCGTCGATGATTCTGGACTCAAGTCCTCAAATGATTTGTCGTATGCGACTAAATATAGGTCTGTTTCCTTTTGATGACGTCTGAGTATTTTAATTCCAAAAGTATTCAAATCAACGTAGCAAAACAACATCTTTAACATTTGTTTAGCACATTTGTTTAGCAGGACTTATTGGCGACGCCGGTGAGCGGCGTCGTCTTTTATGGAATGCTTTTTATTTTGGCCTATGGAAGGAGCTGTTATTATTATCAGTAAATGTCATGTTGTGCTAATTAGTTTTATTTTGATTCGTAAAAAATAAGTAAACAAATATGTTGTTATATTTGTATTTAATAACTTTATGCAAAAAGCATGTGCATTGTAATATTATTTTCTCGAAATTGCAGGCTTAGTTTAACAGCTTGTCCCTTAGTTACTAAAACCCGGATTTTGAATATCGTTGTGGTCTACATTGATGCCGTATCCATCATTCATTCATTTATATATTTTCATTTTTTTCTACAAGAAGAAAGTGCACCTGCAAATGAGTATTAGGGTAGGTAATGAACTGTTGTAAACGAATATCCTATTAGTTCTATCCATATTACGTTTATCTGTTGCACAGAATGATTGTTTTTACAAAGTGTACCAGTATCCGGATGTTGAAAGCTATCCGATTTTCTGCAATTACTGCTGCCGTATGGCCATCTATATTTTTATGAATACTTTACCATTAATTTGCATGGCTTAATAAAACTGAGCCTGCAACATTTCATAATTTTGCTGTTTAGGGTGTTATTTTGGGTTTCAGGTTTTCTATGTTTTAAGGGGATGTATAAAATTTACAAGTTGTAAGGTCATCAAAAGCTTGTTAATGTTAATGTCAGGATTTCATGTTTATTTAATAGAAACATGGAATTATTTATGTTATGTGCATACATGTATATCTTAGTATATTGATATGAAGAGACTTATAATATTTCTGAATTTAACGAGATACAGTTATGTCATTTTTATTAAAGGGATGAAACTTTCATTTAAAGTTATAAATGATAATACATGTATTGATAGAAAATGTTCTTAAACTTGGATCAAGCAATATAATTAATAAAGTCTCAAAAAATCATATACTGAATAGTTATTCTATTTTTTTTCTAACATGCATGTAGTTTGAAAAGGACAGCTTCTGTCTTATCTATTTGTAATGGAAGGACACCAGTCTCAACCTCCAGGTCTCCTGAGTCAACCCGATTGTTATTTGCCCTTGAATAAATTATTTGCCCTTGAATAAATTTGTGCACTGAATTTTATTGTGGATGAGTTGTGCCACATGAAAACCAACAAAAAGTAAGCAGGCGCCAGATGAAAACATGAAAATACAATCTACCACTCAGTGGTTCGTTTGTTGCATTTTCATGTTTTCGCCCGGTACCCTTGATGCAAAATACAAATCAGCCTTCATAAAATTTCTTATCATAGAAAAAAGGTTAGTTTTTTATCTGTACAAAAAAATAGATATTGTACATGTATAAGCACAGTTATGTTCACTTTCAAATTGACCTGTTATAAATAATGGCACAACATATAACTGTCTAATCCCTTTTTAGTAAAAATAATTATACAATAATATATAAATTGTTATTTTAATTAAGACTATGAGTATGTAAGTTTTTTTTTCTTATTTATTAATTAAGAATTAATTATCTGTTAATTAAAAAAATCTAAAAGTATCTGTCACGGTTTAGAACTCTTCACTATTTAGGGGAGAAAATGTGTAAGCGGCCAGATAGCTTAATCGCTACAGCTGCGGTACATTATTCTGTGGGTCACAGGTTCGAGTTCTGGTCAAACTGGACGTTTTTTTTTCATCCTGTGACTGCATATATTCACTATGCTCTGTAAACATAAGAAAAAATATGACCAGATTGATAAAAAAAGCTGTGTTCATAAAAACTAAAAGAAATGTAAATAATGACCCCCTTTAAAAATATACTATTAACTTACAAGTTAAAGTATATTTTTAAAGGGGGTCATTATTTATATGGGGGGGGGGGGGGGGGGGTTGACACTTTTAAGATGAACACAGGTTTTTTATCAATCTGGTCATATTTTTTCTTCCCAACGTTTAAATACCATTGTTTATCGTGATGTCAATGGAATCAGAATGTCAGTTATCCGATTAGTATAGCATCGAAACACCGTATTTAATTGTTTATACCGCAACTTTAGATAGGTACAAACTGTTATAGATGAACGATTGCAATCTATATCAAAATATCGCATTTATCTATATATTTTTACTACATTTATAAGTTGTTTGTTTGCTGTTTTTATTTATATGATACACAAATCATTTAATTGTTTTTGTATTTGATTTTAACAGAGTGTTCTTATAGTAAATTTACTCTTCACTAACACAGTGATGACATAGAATCACATCTCCCCTTCTCGCTACTCTCACACTTGTGGAATAAATTAAGTGTACCAAGTGTCCACACATTTTGTGCACTGTAGCCACTTTTTTCCAGAAGTGTAAATCAATTACACTTACAACAAACTTTCGATACCGAGTCCTAAGGTTCAGAATCACTGCTGACATATGCATTTGATGTGTTTACGGTTTGTTTCGTAGTTCCAGAAGGTCCAAGTTTGGGCTCGGGTTTCCTCTTCTGAGACATGGGCTTAATTGTGAAATTTTCATGCTGCCTAACCCGGACCATAGACTTCTTCGTAATTGCCTTACCACTAACAACGGTGCTAATGTACCTTCTCTTCTTGGTTGCTGTTTTTTGGCAAAGGTATTTGCTGCTTTGGCGGTGAAAAATCAGAGCTTGACACACACTTGCTACATGCATCTGGAATTACAGCACTGGCTTTTTTGTAGAACCTTATATCGCTTAAGGTTGGGTTTACAACATTGGGGTCATATGGATCGATGCCAGTCTTGTGTTCACGCATAAACGTGTGACTCACAGAGTTATAAATCCTTTAAAATGGTCCAAAGCAACCAGAATCTAGGGGTTGTAACACATGACTTGTATGTGCTTGCATGATAAACAAGATCAGATTTTGTGTCCTTGGCAACCTTATCAAACTAAAATATATATGATACTTGTGCCCATCATACAACACAAGTACTGGACTATCAAGTGAACGTTCGGGCAAGTACTAAATGAGATGAATTTCAGCGTAATGGCGAAACCAACACTGTTACTCCATCCAGACCCTATGACGTTACCATCAACACCAGCTTTTCAACCATTCAAGAGTTATGGCCTCATCATTGCGCCTGGAAAGCAAAAATTGGTGGAACATTATTATCTAATGCATTTCTACAACCAATTACTGTTACAAGAGACCAGGATCCAGAGGTGACAGATTGAGGTTTGAAATCACAATCTGTAGCAACAACTGGTTGGGGGTTGCAAGTAGACAAACACTTTTCATCCACATTGTATGCGTTCTGGTATATCTTTCAGACAATATTTGTCAAAAATTGAAACAAGTTCTTCATTATACTTTGTGACACAGTCCATAGTTGTAGCTTTAGCACGCTGAATTTCCAGGCCACGCGGTTTTAACACCTTAAAGTCCGATCAACGAGACATAAACCCACGGAACCACTAAAGAGAAAGGGAATGCTTTCCTTCTTGCTTAGGCATAAAGAATACTCAGAAGCCATGTCTTCAACTCCTGCCCTACTATATCCATAGCCACATGCAGACATAAAATATGACAAAGAAGATCAACAAGGAAAAGCGGCGTTAAATAAACGAACCCCCACATAAAACTCGGGTGTTCTTAGGTGTTGAGAAAACATGGGTGCAGGACCAGAATGGGTAGCTTCATGTCTACTTTTCCACTAAGTTTGTGTCTAAGAGAATATTTAGGTATACCAAACTCCCTTGCAGTGGTTTTAATTGGTGCCCCTGTCTGTCTGACCTTCTCCAATGCTGATACCATAGAGGTTGGTGAATAGCATATGTACTGCCTTTGAAGAACCTGCAAAACAGAAAGAATAAACTAAGTAGGACAAGAAATAACAAATGTGGATATTCATGACATCAAATTCAAATATACTTATTCAAATTATTTTCAATTAACGAGTATTAATTGATGACAGCAAATAATTATATAATGCATACCGGTTACGGTAGTGTGAACATCAGGGATACAAATAACTGGCCATGAATTGTGTCACATGAATGTCACGTGACTTAAGAATACCGAAAATGAGGGAAGCAGATTGAAAGTTAATTTTCCACGTTTATTTTGCAACAAACCGGGATGTGAAATACAAGAAAAAAAATCCATTTGTGAAAACATACAAAAATCTTATGAAGAACGAATAATTGGCTAAATTTTTACCTTTGGATCTCTTTCCACATATTTGTACATATCGATTGAACTCAACCTCTGTTTACTAGAGCGTACCAGAGTAATGATGTAAGCGCTCGCATATATCAATTACAGAGCAAAACAAAGATGGCGTCGAAATAGTGCAGTGTAAAAACAGGTCAGTAAAGCTTGAAAGTCGCAATATGACCCTAATGGTATTGTTGCAACGCCAAACCTTACCAAAAAGAAAGAAAACATAGTTTGAGCAAAAGTTTTTTTTACTCTCCTGACGGCCGCCGTTTTTTTTAAATTTGTCATCATTTTATATTGCAGATTATTTCGAATTTTTTAAAAAAGCTTTTTGTTCTTCTATCTCTTTAAACTTTAAAATGAGAAACACTGAAACGTATACATATAATAAAAATGTAAGATAAAATTAATGAACATAATTATGGTGTCAATATCTGCATTTTAAAAGAATGGTTTTGTATATTTCTTTGACGCATAATACTGTCGGTCAAACTACAAATGTGTACTCGAATTTTATTTGTCAATATTTTTAACCACCACAGGACTTTTAGAGGTGTATAACTACATTGTATCTCCGTGTGATTATTTATGTTGTTTAATGTTTTAAAAACCATGCCACATCAATGATGCTTATCATTATTTCAAATAATTGTTAGACTGAATGCTTTTGTAGCACATAAAGTGTATATATTTTCTTCATTCTGAAGATGATTTACATGAACTGATAGTGTTTGTATCGTCTACGTCTGACACAGACTCCAACAGCGACAACTAAAATAATGAACGTTAATCCTCCAAACACCGAACCTAAAACGATTGCGACTGTGTCGTCGTCGTCGCCATCATCATGTTTGTCTGTTGGGCAGGCAGTCACATCTACAGTAAACACAGAAAATGTATTAATGACGAGCCACATATTTAAATTTAATGAAGACAAGTGCTAAATGCAAGAAAATTATTTTACAATTTTCGTCGGACAAGCCTACAGGCACGCCTTATTGAGGTTGCGAAACTTTTTTTTGAAACCCAATTCTGTGTGGTTTCAAACTAAGCATCTCAGTGATTTTGTCTTCGAAAAGTGAATTGATATCTTGTAAAGCCTTATTCAACAGCTATTTATATCACGCCAGTGTCGTTCATTTAAAAAAATAAAAGATCGGGAAACGTAGCATCCGCTTTGCTAATTTACATAATTATAGAGAGTGGACTGGTGGATAAGAGGTTTTCAGGGGGTTTCCTTATTATTCATGTATTTTATAGAGAGCGAATCCCATTTTAACTTTTATTCTTGAGAATTTGAGATTTGAGAATAATACAAAACAATTTATCTAAAAGTAGCATATTAAACTTTAAAAACAAATGGCCGCTTTAAATAACCACTATAACATAACATGTTGTTCCGGCTGAGTTCTTAATGATTGTTATATTGATGAATCGTTAGCACTGATGAAAATTGTTTAATTTTCTTTCATTTAAAACTAGGAATTTGTTCATGTAAAATATTAAACTTATATCATATACGAAATCCAAGTTAAATGTGATGTCCGTGCCCCAGTGGTTACAGGTCGTTGAGTTTCAGGGACTTCTGATTCTTAAATGTGAGGAAGCTATCCAGCTAGCTTAGGCAACATTGGTAGCTCTTCTCAGGTATTCGCTTCTGTCAGAAATAATGCACAGAATGGCACCTAAATCCTTCCTCCACCAGTAAAGCTAGAAGTCGCCATTTGACCTCTAGTGTGTCGGTGCGACATAAATTTTAACCTAAATAAATATCACCGTTATTAGAAAAGTCTCCAGAATCGTCTGTGTTGAAAGCCTTATACTGAAATTCTGTCAGATCAACATAAAGATCTTCTTTTAATTGTATCGTCTCTCCCGTACTGCATCTGTAAGAACCCTCGGGACTCGCTTTGAAGTTTCCAGTGACATCTTTCGTGACAGTTTCCTCTTGTCCTATAATGTTGTATAACAAATACCATCAGTAAACACGTTTTGTGTTGCTATATCGAATAAAAGTTTGATTTTTCTTGCTTTTAGTGTGCACAGGAGCATGTGACACAAGTTTACATGAGCGAATATTTAAGTATAATCAAGTTGATTTTGTGTTACTATTTTGTGATTTTGGAATTTGCATACATTGCTGGAATAAGATTTGTTCAATTTAACATGATAATATTTGTGTTTTCAAAATGCATTTTAATTTTGATTTTGAAAAAGAAATCATTTAAACAAAGATGCATTACCAGGAGTTTTTGGATTCTCAAAATGCTCATCTATGACATATTTTAACTCGATGTTCCGCCACGAATATGACGTCTCAGCTTGTAGGTCTTGTAACAAAGGGTCATTTTTCTTTAACATGTTCGCCGCATCTTCTGCTATAAGTACAGTAAAACTCCATGTGTCATTGAAAAATGTTATTATCAATTCCTGTTTTGTATCTGTTTCATTGTAGTTGCACGCCCCACTCACTTTTGCTACTTCAGGAAGGCCAATAGATAAGTAACCCATCTGTTTAGGTTAGAAAAAGATAATTTACTAATTTACTATGCACAACAAATATATAACATGCAAATGCAAAATTTACCAATAACATGCAAACTTAAGATGTGTGCATCATTTTGCATCATAAATTTATAAGATTATTGCTTTCACAAGAATGATATTACAATTACAATAAACTTACAGTGAAATTTTCCCGTAAAATACAATTACCATGTAATAAGTGAGACATAATATAAGTGTTAAAGGCATGTCGATATACACTGATTGCTGTAATAGAAAGAACATATTGACTAAGGATTTAGCCAAGAAAAGTTTTCAATATAATTTCTCAAATCATTTTACTCCTGGTGTCTGTTTTTACTTTTACAAACCCATCTTTTTTGATTTTCTAGATTAGTACATTTATAATAATTAAGTATTTTATATTGAAGTCAAAATACCATTTTGTTAACCTTTACGACCAATAACTTCACATGCTACTTCCATCATGTAATAAGCATCTAAAATGCTCTTCGACTACCATTTAAACGTTATAAAAACTCATGGTTGCCTTTTCAAGACAAAGGAAAACATAATATTCGTTTCTGCATAATATCCCTTTAATAATGAAAATATCCTTACTTGCCTGTCATTCCTCTCGTATGGAATGTCAAATCTTATGTTACCTTGAATAACAATACAGACAATATCTCCATCCTTCACCTCATATTTTGGACTTTTTTTCATCGGTGTAGTGGTTTTAATGATATCTGCGGTAGTTGTTTCTGGTTCATTTGAAGGTGACATTGTCTCTGGTTCTGATGAAGTAGAGTTATCGATGGGATTAACTGTAATTGTTGTTTCTGATACAATGGTAATAGGTGTTTCTTTAGACGTTGTTTCTGGTGCTAATGATGTTGTGGTAGGTTCATCAGGCGGTGCTGTTGTTGGCAGGGTTGTAAAATTATCTTGGCTGCATTCCAAAGCTGTAAAAGTATTCACTATCCTACTTTTGTATTACATCATAATAATTAAAATATATTTTCTAACATTGTCATCAATTTCGATTACTTAAAAAATGGCTCCTTATTAGAAATTAAGTTAATTGTCTGAAGTGATTTTTATAATACTTTAAATGATACATTATATATATCTGAGTAGATATATATTTTGGAAAATGAACTTGTATACAATTGCATTGTATTTTTATCTCCACGTATTGGCAATTTTGTGGTTGATAGTAATTTGTACATTTTTCGACATTGTTTTCGTTTCAAAGGGGGGCTTTCTTAATTAAAATAGTCAAATAGTTTGTAGTTTATAACAAAAACAAAAGCTAAAACAGTTTGACCGAATGACAATTTTGATAAACTTTATTTATAAATATTTGCATCTTGAAAAAAAGTTATTGTTACGTAAATAACACCAATGTAAACCTGTACTAAACTCTCCGTTTTCTATAGCATACGCTTGTACGTGAAGGTTTGTAATCGACATCGTCATAAAGTACCCAGGATCCTGATTAAAGAACATATTCTGCTCCGAGTTACATATATATGACATGTTTGTCATACCAATTGGCAAGTCAATGCTACTCTCGAGTTCGAAAGGTAGAATATCACTTGCATTCTCGAAATGTTTCTTTGGTTCAATGTTCAGCACAGCCGACATTGAAACGGTATTTGAATTCAAATCTTTTCGGAAGTTAATTTTAAATGATTCATCCGACGGAAACAATTTAAAAGACAACACCGCGGTAGACATTTCTGTTCCACAAAGACTTTGTCCTGCAGTAACATTTGCACCATCAATGGAAAATGGTTCTGCTTTCTGAAAACAAAATTATTGATGCATAACTGACAAAATCACAGCACATATTTCATTTTTCTATGGAAATCATACAAAAGCACCGTTTTAATTGAATTTATACGACAAGAGATTGATTTCAACGTATTTGATTTAAATAAATATCAATATATTAAACATACATTAACAAATTAACAAACAAATCGTTCACAGTATGCATCTTTTTAAAAATTAAATGATGATTATATTTAGATTATAATTTAATTCACACATCATTTATTTAATTAAAGGTTTTGCTGGAATGTTTGTCACTTTAAACTGGATTCTTGATTTATATTTGAATAAAGAAGTTTTCATTCACAATCTAATGTATAATCTTAACATGGAGGTGTATTTTATAAGCTGAGAATACTTAAAAGATAAACAAATTAAAATAATATTCTTAAAAATACATGAACTTTTGTACCACATGTACTTAGTTACCTCTGTTCCTTTCAAAAGGTCAAACGATGCATCTATGTCTAAAAGTATACATGTTTGTTCTCCATCACCAAATTCAAACTTAGCACTTTGTACTAAAATAAAAAGATAGATAAAAACAAATAGCGTCAGTATCCTTGTAAAAATAATTAGTTGAACTGCATGAGGTAGAATCTAATGGAATGTAATCATAAACACACATATATTGTTTCAATTAATCAATAAAATCTTCCAAACAAGGAAATGTAAATCATCTTTTTTTTTTACCTCAACCACATTATTCTCCTACAAGCAAATGCATTCAACAAGTTGTTGTGAAAGGTCCATTGTGCCCTAGAAAATCTTTGATTCTATTTCTAATAAGGTTTTTTTTTTTTGGCTTACTACCTGGACCCTTTTTGTTTCTTCTGTTGTTTTTATTCTTTGGAAAATAGTACAATGTCAGTGATTAAGTTTTTTGTATCGAAATAAAAAAAAACTACTTTCAACATTTTGCTACCCTTATTATAAATGATGTCGACGTATTTAACGTCTCTTTCTTAAGGTGTCAAACATCTAATATTCTCTAAAACCATTATTTAAACGTTATAAAATGCATGCTTATTCTTTCTAAAGAAGTAAAGAAGTAAAAATTGATTCATGTTGAAACATAATGGACCTTAAATAGATTCTTATTGAGATGGTGTGTCTTTAGTTCTATTGTACATGTATTGTATACCAAATTTAAGAGGCAATAATAAAATCCCAACAGTAGAAAATGACTAAGTTATTATCAATGTTGAAACGTAAAAGGTTCATAAAAGAAAGCGTCACATAATCCATGTATAGAAAATGATATTTCAATTCAATTTATATACTACGACATATTAAGCACGTTTTAACAGCTCATATAAGTTGCGTTTTCCGCTCACCTGTACACATTAGAAATCCACATAATAGACAAATGATTGCGTATAAAATTTTCATTTCCGCCATGATTGCTACTGTCCTCACACATTCAATAAGTCACACAAATACATAGTCTATGTATGTATGAATGACAAATTGACATTATCAAGATAAAATATAATATATCACATTTATATCATGATAACTTAAATGATATCATGTATATCCTATCGGTCACAAGTTAAAGTTGTTCAAATACTTTTTAAAAATGTACATGGCGGATATAAATTTCAATCTCACAATAATTATGAATCTGCCTTTTCTCTATGGTTTGATGTAGTTTAAACATATTCTTGAGCTCGATTACGAAAGAAGTTCCTGCGACTAATATTCATCACTTTCAAATCCGATTCCTGGAACCAACCAGTACTAGTGTCATATGAAGAAACATGGTCGTGACCTAGCTGAGAAACATCCTCGGACCCCTGGATTGAGAGACATACACTAACCACTAACCATGCTATATTTCAGGAGTAATGAAATACGTGTTTTACCCTTAAGCTGAATTTCTTTTATGCACTTGTCAAGCTTTCAGTTTTGGAACTGTCATGTATCACAGCAAATAGAGCATATTCAGGCTGCACCGACATACTGATAAGTCTGGTTCTATATTAGTGGCAAAGACTGGCTACTTCCGGTTCCAGTGTGGTAAGGTCAAGACTTATAGCAGGCATTATTTACATTTAAAACCCCGCAATATTATTTCGACAAACGGTGATCTGTGTGCATAGAAAAGCGCTTAAACGAAACAGATACCCCTTGTAATGTCACTAATAATGTTTACATTTTTGCATTTTTTAGAAAATAGAATTAAACATTTTTTGATTTTAACTGGAGTTGATTTCTTTATTCAACCGTACATAAAAACATAATCATAATAGAACGTAACTTTCTATAAACATTCTATAAATTTACGAGTTTAATTTCATGCTTTCAAGGGTTTTAGCAGATGATTAGACGGCGCGTGCATGGGCCGTCTAGTAGATATGCATTTGTTCATATAGCAATGGGGAAAATTATAGACTTGATTCTGTGCATTTTGTTCTTGGTTTAATAAAATCACATTGTTTTCAGATTTTCTAATAGAAATAGTTTTTCTGATGTGCAACATGTCACAGAGCTTTAAGGGATTAAAATAAACGTTTAACTGAAGTGATAGTGTCATGTTTGAATATCGATATGTAAGTCATGAAAATAATTAACGTTTAAGTTATAAAATAGATAAACTGATTGAATAAGTACGTTTGTTTTAAAATGTATAACAAATATTTGCAATAATTTATTTTGAAGGATTCTGTGACTGACAATTGTTCTCTTTCATCTTGATTTTTTACTTTGATGTTTTACTACATTTAGTGGTTCTATACCTAAATATATCAATTTATTCATGACTATTATTTAATATTACAGACATATTTTTGCTGTTTTTAAAATAAGAAACAGTTTGTCCTTAAATTCATCCAAACGAGCATTATGCAATTCGCACCAATATTTTAATGGACATTTTCTCCGCACATATTGTCTTGAATTCATTTTAAGTTTACCAATCATTTTAATTTTTCTTGTTATCCAATTTATTTTGCTTCGACCAGACATTTCAATCATTGTCGCAACAGACAAACATTTCAGACTTTCAGACACATAACAAGAACATGGAGAAAAATTGATTAGTGCTTCGGATATTCAACTGTAATTGAGAACGATTTTCAATTCAGATTTTGTACATTACCTGTGACTGTTCACATCATTTAGCGGTGTCTTTGATAATTATGCAGCATCAAAATTTAACTTGTTATATTTTGATAAACCACTAGTGAAATGTTCTCTCTTCATTTTGGTTTGTTTTGATCGACTAACACATTACATATAATTGTGGCGATTTGGTCGAATATCTAAGAATAATCAACGTCCTCCCATAGCATCCTGGATAGTTTTTATTAGAAAGAATCCGAAGTCCTTAGCAAGGAGGGAAGAGTGCTAAAGTTAGCGGCCTATACCAGTTGTTCTTTAATGCCATTTTTTGTATATACGTGTGTAACATAATTAGTTATATTATGTACAAGTACCACTTCATTGGTGATGTTTCACTGCTAATTAACTCGTTCCTGCATAAACATTTTGTGGAAATGGCTGTTCTCATTGAAAAGCCCCTTGTTACAAGTTCAGATTGCTATGGAACTATAAAAGACGCTCCAATATTCATTAAACTTGACGCAAATGTTGTATGACTGGACCATAGCCTAAGTAATGCTCAATCTTAAATTTCATGTAACAATGGCAACGAGGGAACATCTCAAAATTGCAAAAAAATCAAAAATCAAATTTTGGCTGTCCATTCAAACCGCTAAGTAGAAGTGGGCACATCCAACTCTGGCACCTCCTTTTGTAACTTTCTGATAGGGGATGACGCCGAAAAAAGTGATCACTTTTTCTAACAACATTTCTCAAACGACAACAAGTGTTTTGGGCCTAAATAGGACATTTTTTTGCAGTATTTGATGCCTAAAACTTGCAAATAAATATAAGAATTGACTCCTATATATAACTTGTACAATGAATATGTTTCTATAATTATAAATAGAATATCAAATTCATTAAATTTGTTTCATATTATAAAGCCCAAGATTGATCTAACATGACGTTTATCTTAATACTACTTACAAGCTTTTTAAAAAGTGCATGCTTTGGAAAATGTCAGTTACTCTAGTCATATATAGACTTTTGATGTGGCAAACAAATATTACCTTTTTCTAGGATTAATTTCAAGAACATATTTTACAATTCTATAACAGATATAGCACAACGGGAGATATAAACGTTAATTATCTACGACAATAGGCTCTTGGTAGATGAAATACCCATGCCTTAACGAATAGAGCTCTTGAAAGTGTTATATGTTCAAATATTTCCAATGTCTTAAGTAGGTGAATCATTGCTTCAAAGAAGAGAGTCCCCTATCATAGAGCAACTTTTAAGCAACATTATTGCAACTGTGTCAAAATGACCGATTAAGCTACACAATTACGTTTAAATGACAATTAAATGTTTCCCATTAGTACTCGTATAGCCGTAGAAAAAAGTATTGGCTTGTATTTATTTTTTTATTTCGCAACTTTAGAAAGGTACTGACTGTTATAGATGAACGATTGCTATCATCATCAATATATTGCACAGTAAAATATGAAAACGGGACTGCACCTGGAATTGACCAATTCAGTCGAACTACAAATATATAGCGGTGTTTTTCGCAACACCGTCACAGTTAAAAGTTCTTGCATAGCACACTCGCGTTTCACAATGTACCCATGCCGGAAATTTCATCTGACATGGGGGTGCCACATGAGTCGCGCGTCATACAACAACGTCATTTGAACGCCGCATTTTATCAATGAACCGCGTAAAAACGCGTCGTTTCGGCATATTTTAGAAGGGAACTAAGTGCTTAGGATGAAGTCATTTCGCCGATGTTATTAAAGTTGTAAATTCATAGGCTCAATTTTCAATTAAGGTAGTTTTTATATTGTATCCGAAACATTTTTCATTATCAATTGTTTGTCAGTGGCCATTACACTAGTAAATGATAATTACAATG